CCAACAGGCCCCAGTGTGTGTTGTTCCACCCTTCCCACATCATATGCTTGTATTCTCATCGTTCACCTCCCACTTATAAATGAGAATATGTGGTGTTTGGTTTTCCGTTTCTGCATTAGTTTGCTGAGTATAGTGGTTTCCAGCTCCATCCATGTCCCTACAAAGGACATGATCTTGTTCCTTTTTATGACTGCATAGTAGTCCATGGTATATATGTGCCACATTTTCTTTATCCAGTCTATCATTGATGGGTACTTGGGTTGACCCCATGTCTTTGGTATTGCAAATGGTGCTGCAATGAACATATGCATGCATGTATCTTTATAATAGAATGATTTATATTCCTTTGGGTATATACACACTAATGAGATTGCTGGGTCAAATGCTATTTCTGGTTCTGGGTCTTTGAAGAATCACCGCATTATCTTCCAAAATGGTTGAACTAATTTACATTCCCACCAATAGTGTAAAAATGTTCCATTTTCTCCACAACCTCGCCAGCATTTATTTCTTCTTGACTTTTTAGTAACTGCTATCCTGACTGGCATGGGACAGTATCTCATCATGGTTTTGATTTGAATTTCTCTAATGATCAGCGATGTTGAGCTTTTTTTCATGTTTGTTGACCACAAGAATGTCTTTTGAGAAATGGCTGTTCACATTCTTTGCCCACTTTTTAATTGGGTTGTTTGTTTTTTTTTCTTGCAAATTTGTTTAAGTTCCTTGTAGATTCTGGATATTAGACCTTTATCAGATTGATAGATTGCAAAAATCTTCTCCCATTCTATAGATTTTCTGTTCACTCTAATGATAGTTTCTTTTGCTGTGCAGAAGCTCTTTAATTTGATCCCATTTGTCAATTTTTGCTTCTGTTGCAATTGCTTTTGATGTTTTCATCATGAATCTTTGCCTGTGCCTATATCCTGAATAGTATTGCCTCGATTTTCTTCTAGGGTTTTGATCATTTGGGGTTTTACATTTAAGTCTTTAATCCATCTTGAGTTAATTTTTGTATAAGGCGTAAGGAACGGGTCCTGTTTCAGTTTTCTGCATATGGTTGGTCACTTCTCCCAGCACAGTTTATTGAATAGAAAATCCTTTCCCCCTTGCTTGTTTTTTTCAGGTTTGTTGAAGATCAAATGATTGTAAATGTGCAATCTTATTTCTGAGATCTCTATTCTGTTCCATTGGTCTGTGTGTCTGTTTTTGTACCAGTACTCTGCTGTTTTGGTTACTGTAGGCTTGCAGTTTAGTATGAAGTTGGGTAGTATAATGCCTCCAGTTTTATTCTTTTTGCTTAGGATTGTCTTGGCTATTTAGGCTCTTCCTTGGTTCCAAATGAATTTTAAAATAGTTTTTTCTAATTCTGTGAAGGTCAGTGGTAGTTTAATAAGAATAGCATTGAATCTGTAAATTGCTTTGGGCAGTATGGCCATTTTCACAATATTGATTCTTCCTATCCATGACCATGGAATATTTTTCCATTTGTTTGTGTCCTCTCTGATTTTCTTGAGCAGTGGTTTGTAGTGCTCCTTGAAGAGGTCCTTCACTTCTCTTGTTAGCTGTATTCCAAGGTATTTTATTCTCTTTGTAGCAATTGTGAATGGGAATTTATTCATGATTTGGCTCTTTGCTTGCCTGATGTTGGTATATAGGAATACTAGTGATTTTTGCATATTGATTTTGTATCCTGAGACTTTAATTGCTCAAAAAATTTATTCTTTACATAAGATTTGAAATGTTATTGCTGTAAATTAAGTTATGGCACTGTCTTCAGATGGCCATATCCTCAAGGTGTACATGGTCTGGGAGATGTATCCATAAAACTTCAATGACAAAATGCCAAACTTGTAAATAGACTGCTGTGGGAGCATGGAAGAGGAAGTGACTAATTCTACCCAGGAAAAACCAGGGAATTCAGGGCCGAGGCCCTATGCTGGGCTACTTGGTTTAGAGCATTCTGTTTGGGCCCTCCTTTACTTGCACCCCCAGTTCCCACCCACTCTTTTGCCCACTAAACTCAGTTCAGGTAACTGAGACCTTGGAATTCCTTTCCCAGGTATCTCAAACCTGCTTCCAGGACTTGTGAATACTTGGTCCTTGGGTCTGTTCTCCTGAGAACAAGCCATGACAACAGTTGACCCCATATTCTTGAGAGGTGGCCTAGAAGAGCTTACATGTGTGGACTGGGGTGTTCACATGCAGGGCAAAGTCAGGGTGGAAATAGAAGAGAAGGTATGGGACAAGGAATGGGGACTGGGAGACATCTCTCATTATTTTCTCTCCAGAGGTCAAATGTTCTAAATTCAAATCAAGTGTCACAGATTGTTAGAAAGGCACATTTGTCAGGGAGGAGGATAGAACATTTTATATAGTGGCTGAGTATTTGTGGTGTGAAGGACTCTGCTTGTACCCTAGTGTCAGGTCCTGCATGTGTTAGGGTGGGTGGAGAGAAGATTTCCCAGAAGTAGAGATTTGAGATCGAATTTGAAAGTACAAGATTTCTCTCTGTGTTCAAGCCACTGTGGGTGATCAGTGCCATGTAACTGGGTCATAGGGGAAGAGTCTGCAGATAGGCCCATCAAAAAAGACACCGGAGTCTGGAATACCATGGCTCTGGAATTTTGTCCATGGGCCATGAGAAAATTTTGAAAGTCTCTAAGAGAAACCTGAGGTGATCAGATCGGAGTTTGAGGGCTATGAGTCTGGTGGCAGTGAGGAGCCTGAACAGAAGGGAGAGAGATTTGAGGCAACAAGGCCAGTTTGGTAGCTTTTTCAGCTGTCCATGGTCTACAGCCTGAACAAAGTCCATGTCAGCTTGCTTTCTGCAGCCAGAATCTTATTCTTAGTGGCTACTTGGCTCTCATTGAAGCCCACCATTCCCTGCATCAGGCAGGCAGCTCTCAATGAGGAAGCACTGAAGACACCAGCCTAAGGAAATGCCCTATGTTTGGAAAATAAAATTCCTTCTAATCCAAGAATAATCTATCTAAAACCCAAAGGAGACTTGTCTCTCATGTGTGGATAAACTTCAAGAAATATCTATCTTTTCTATCATCGTAACAAACTTTAGGCTATTCAGAATTCAGAGTAAAAAATATCAACTTTTGTTGAATTTGTAAAATTGTTATTATTTAATTTACATTGTTCAGGGCTTCTCTTCCCTTGCTCTTTCTGTGGATTCAACTATGCCCAAGTGTATGTATTTGCCTTGAGCATCTTTCTTTCTCTTTCTGTCTTCTTTCTTTTCTTTTCTTTCTTTCTTTCCTTCTTTCTTTCTTTCTTTTTCTTCCGTCCCTCCTTCCATCCTTCCTTTCCTTCTTCCTTCCTTCCTCTCTTCCTTCCTCCCTCCCTCTTTCTTTCTTTATTTCCTTCCTTCCTTCCTTCCTTCTTTCTTTCTTTTCTTTCTTTCTTTCTTCTTTCTTTCTTTCTTTCTTTCTTTCTTTCTTTCTTTCTTTCTTTCTTTCTTTCTTTCTTTCTTTCTTTCCTCTCTCTTCCTTCCTTCCTTCACTTCTTCTTTTTCTTTCCTTCTTAATTGTTCTTTATGGGACAACAGCTAAAACCCACGCTATGTAGCTTGGGACGTATTGCTGAAGTTTAAATTTTAAAGTAAAAGTGGCATGAGAGAAGCACATGTCACAAAGACCTTGGTGTTCAGGAAACAGGACCTGAAGAGTAAGGACTGGGAAATGAAACTTTATAGAATGGGGCAGGAAATGTGCAAGCATTTTTCATTGCTAAAAACATGAGGTTAAGTATGTTGCCCTGACCTGGAGCAGCTGGCTGACACTTCTGCCATATATGCCAGGGACCTTGCATGGCTTCTCCTGAAGAACATACAATTGCTTCCTAATGCACAGGCAGCATTTCTAGAACTGTGCATTCGTATATGCTATTTACCAGAATTTAGCCCTATTCTTTCCTCCAAAAGTACTGGATATGAATCTGAAGTTTAAATCTCTATATAGGATAATTTTAATTATCTAGAAACTTTCTTCTTTTATGTTCTTGTTAGTTGTTTTGTAGTAATACATGACAGTATATGTTTAAACATTGTGTACAACTCTTTACTATGGGGTGGGGGAGATGTTTTATTCAGATGTCGCTCTATACAAATTAGATTTATCTTCCTTTGATTTGTTGCTCAAAAACTTATTAACTCACCTTCCAGATAAGCTCTGTGTAAGGCATTAGGTGTCCAATGGTGTACAAGATAGGGATGATGCTTAACCTTGTGGAGCTTTCAATCCAGCCTGAAAGGCGTCTAGAGCAGCAGTAAGAAGGAATCATGTGAAGGACCTGCTCAGGGCCATTTAGGGTACAGTGGGAGCTTCCACAAGGGCACTATAGCCTGAGAAGGAAGAAGAGAGGAGTTGAGGGAGGTTTCTTAACGAAATAATAGTTCATCTGAGGCCTCAAGAATGATCAGGAGCTACTCAAGCAAAATAGGGGCAACATGAATTCCAGGCAGAACAGATCACATGAGTAAAATCCAAGATGCAAAAGAAAATTTCTCAAGTTAAGAATTTTTAAAAATAATTCATCATAGTTGATGTGCAATAGGTAGTGGAATCTGGACTGGGGAAGGTGGACCAAGTGGACAAGGGACTGAATGTGGGAAGATGGATAGGAGTCAGGTATGAAAAAAAGGGCAAGTGACCATAGGGTTTTAAGGCAGGAAAAAACACCACTGTGGCTAAATCTGAGAAGAGATTGGATGAGCAAGACTGAGGGCAGGGAGACCTGTTAGGAGGCTGTTGGAATAACCCATGTGTGGGATGCCTGGGTCAGGGATCTCAGCTCCATGTCCCCCTGAGAGAGACCTTCCCTGACCCTTTGCCTCAATTAGGGCCCTGGGACAGTCTCTCACAGAGCCCTACATTTTCCCTACATGGGATTTATTAAAATTATAATTGTTCATTTCTGATGTGATTATTTCTTTTACTGAATGTCTGCTTTACTAAACAGTGAATCTTGTCAGACTTATTGCTGTCCCCATCACCTACAGCTTGCAAATAGGAAGGACTCAGTCAGTATTTGTGAATGAGTGAATGAATGGATGAATATAAAAAGAAGGAAGTGGACAAATCTGTGGGATTCTTGGGTATTGGAATCAACAGGACTTGGTGATTGCTTAGAAAATAGCTGCTGGTAAGGGAGAAACAGTTTCTAGTTTGAGTAGCCAGGTGGATAATGGTGTAATTTATAGGAAAAGGAGGCACTTAGAGCCAGAAGAGGTGGTGGGAGAAGCAGGTTTTTGGCAGGGGGTGGATTAGGAGCTCAACTTTGGGCAGATGGTGCTGTGTATCAGATTTGGTTTTAATACTGGAAGCTACATTTAAAGTCTACCCTACTCAAAAAATGACAAATCAATAAAGTAAATCAAACACAAACAAAAGAAACAAATAAAGCAGAAATATGGATGGGCAAATCTGTTTCACTTTCGTTGTTCAGCTTCCCACAAGTTTCCCTTTCTAATTCTTCTATTTTAGCAAACAAAACAATTCATTACATTATCAGTATGTGACATATTAACATAGAGTCTTTATTCCACCAAAGAGTTCCATTTTCTTGGATAAATTTCACCTTTACATTCATATAAGCATTAAGAGTCAAGAAAAAAAATTAAGATATGAGACTATGGTATAAATCATTTTGCTTTAATAATTTTATCTTATTATTACATTTTTGTGATCAAAATGGAAAATTTAAGAAAATGTGGGAGATCTTTTCTGCTTTCATATTTTTATTTATTAAAGATTTCTAAACTGGATTTCTCCATTTTGAAGGCTTTGATTAAAGTCAACAAGGGTCTCCTACCTACTTAAATTGTCCTTTAAATTGCAGCTTTCATGGTGGTTGGAGGAAATGTACCATTCCCAATGAGGAAATAACACATCGAAACTTGACTTATGAGTAGCAACACTGAAGCATTATTTTAAACTTCTTCAACAGTAAGGCACAGATTAAAAGAAAAAGGAACTAAAGGCTCTGAAGATTTTATTGTAAATTTTAAATTCTAAACTTGGGAGATTTGCCTGAGTACCAATGAGGTTAATAATCCCAGAATGTGTTGAGTTCAGGTTTAATACAAAAAAATTTTGCTTTCAAAATTAATTGCAATTTAATTAACTTTTCTTTTTCCTTCTTCTTTCTTCCCTCCTCCTCCCCTCTCTCTTTATAGGTAGTTCAGAAGTGTATTCCTTTCCTAATTGGGCATTTGAAGGATTCAACCCATAATGACATCATCCTAAACATCCTAATAGAGATAGCAGGCTATGAGCCAGTGGCTTTGAATGGTTTTCTTCCAATGCTGAAAGAGATCGGTGAGAGATTCCCCTACCTCATTGGACAGATGGCAAGGATTTATGGAGCTGTTGGGCATGTGAATGAAGTAAGTTTGGTTTTTTTCTCTCCATTCCCCTGAATTGCACTGGCGCTTAATCCAACCTATTTAATCTATTGGAGCTCTATGACATACAAATATTTCCTGGGATTTCTGGGAGTTCCAATTTATCTTTCAATCCTTTTACATGGGCAATGGCCTGTGAGTCAAGTAGCAGGGTTATGTGGAAGGTTTAGGAAGTGAGTATTTTATTACTACTGTGTCACCTGAAGAAGGAGGGTTAAAATGGAGAGAGCACCAAAAGATTGAAGACCACTTTGCAGTAACAATAACCAATAAAAGAGCTGTATCTCATTTCAGGTTGCAATTTCTCTTAACCCAGGAGACCATCAGTAAGCACAGAATTAGATTTCATAGACTACCCTTTAATGAGAGCCTGTAGCTATCATGTCAATAAGTGCCTGGGTTCAGAATGTTTTCAGTCCTCTGACTGATGTTATTTGGGAGAGTGAAATAAACGTTTGTGGATGTTTAAAAGTACTAAGCTAAATATTTGCATAATGGCATCTTTCAGTAGGGACAACAGGATGCCATCAGAGTTTATGGGGATTAAGCAATTAAGAAAGTTTTCAGAAATTCAGGTTTCAAAGACATGCATGTCTCTCTGATGATTTTATGTTGGGATTTAGGATTTTTATATTTTAAAATAAAAACAAATCTATAATTGACTGAGAGCTTTTCCTTGAACCTATGTATATATAATATAATTAGCTATTCAATAAATATAAAATTGTCCAACTTTTAAAAGGAATTTCATAGTTCATTAAGTTCAATCCCTTGATTCTGCATAGGATAAAATTTAAAACCAGAAACGTTATGTGACTTACCCAGACTCAGACTGAGTTAGTAACCCAGTTAGAATTAGATCTTTGGTATCTTCAGCATCATTTTGGAATTTTGTCTTAAAACGCATCTTTGGTGCTGTTTGATTATATTTCTTCTCAGAGTTATAGTGAACCCCTTGAGTCCTGCCTGGCTTCCTCCTGGTCGAGGCTCTTTCTCCTCTAGCTTTCCAGAGGAAGGCAGGAGAACTGAGTTCCCAAGCCTGCACCTGTCAACGTAAGGATGAATCTTGAAAGGGGATTTCTCTGGTGTAGATGTACTCTTAGTATAATCCCTTTCTGTGCACTGCTGTTGGGAATGCCTCGCCACACTCTGCCTTCTGTTAATGCTTTCCCCTGCCCGTCACCTTTTCTGCCAAGAGAACCCACTGGTATGCCCGAGTGTTATTAGGCCAGCTTCGCCTGACAGCTGTTTAACTGAATCTGCTGACCTTGCAGATCTTTGCAAGGACCAAAAAGTTCAACCTCTGAGGTGTGAGGCCCTGGAATCTTTAAAAAGTAAAGTCTTTCTGCATTTTCATGGTAATTCTTTTTGTCAGAAATGATTCATTAATGTATAGTAATGCACATTGGTGTTGACTAAACTCCCATGGAAAATGTAATCTGTGAAAAACAAAAAACAGTAGCCACATGCAGTCTAACCACATGCAAATTATGTCAATGTCAGTTTGTCTGAACTAAGGCTGTATCCATCTGTTCTTGCACTGCTATAAAGAAATAGCTGGGACTGGGTAATTTATAAAGAAAAGAGGCTTAATTGGCTTGCACTTCCAAAGGCTGCAACAGGAAGCATGATGCTGGCATCTGCTCAGCTTTTGGGGAGGCCTCAGGAAAACCTACAATCGCGGTGGAAGGCAGAGGGGAAGAAGGCACCTCATGGCCAGAGCAGGAGGAAGAGGGAGTGGGGAGGTGCTGCGCCAGATCTCATGAGCACTCACTCACTCTCATGAGAGCAGCAGCGAGGGGGAAATCCACCCCTGTGATCCAGTCACCTCCCACCAGGCCTCACCTCCAACATTGAGTATTACAATTCGACATGAGATTTGGGTGCGACACAGATCCAAACCATATCAAAGGCTAACCTGAAAGAGAACAGTTCATTTGGTGACATTTGTGTGACTGTCAGTGGGTACTAGGAGAAGGAGAGGTGGGTCTAAATAACTTGAGGAATAAATTATTTCAGAATTCAAATTTGTTTGCTTTTTTCCCCAAAACAAACAAATCTTTCTGGTGGTTCTGTTTCACCCCCCACCCCAGACCCCCAGCAGAGAACAGTTGTAGATCAGACAGTTACCAAGTGTATCTGGATATCAGGGTTATGTGAGGAGCTTTAAAATAATGTCAGTCTTGGACCCCATAGAATGCCTACTAAGTCATAATCTCCTAAAAAGAGAACCAGAAGTCTGGATTTACGGGAACCTCTGTCAGGGTAATTCTGATGCAGCTATTTGTGAATCAGTATTTGGGAACTCCAGACAGAGAATATTTAAAGTGCTTTCTCTGTTAGATTTAGAATCAGGCCTTGCCTATCACCCATCATCCTGCCCTCCTCTAGCAAGCCATTACTAATCAATTTAATAATTTTCTAGACTATTGATATAGCAGCTTAGAGTAGGCTTGGCTAAGAGTAACACAAAAATCCAAAACCACAGTAACTTAAAGATAGATATCTGATTGTCTTACACTTAAAGAAATCTAGAAGGCAATCTCTCTAGAGTGCCATGTTTCAGAGACTCAGGCTCCTTCTACCTTATTGCTCTACCATTCCTGAGTGCACCAGAAAGCAATAGCTTCTGTGTCATGGTCCAAGATGACACTGTCTCCACCCATCACATCAGTCTTTCTGCCAGCAGGAAGGGGGAAGGGGAGAAGGAATCTTCCAAGCTGTCAAACACAACCTTTTGTTTACAATCCATTAGCTAAATAGAATAAAGCTGAATATGACCATATGTAGCTGCAAGGGAGACTGGAGCGTGTTGCCTGGTTCTGGGTGGCCCCATGCCCAGTTAAACAGGGGGAAAAGGCAGAAAGAATGATGAAAAACAAAAAACACTTGCTGTTGCAGGTGGTCAGTTCATTTCACATCCATGGATCTGTTTTCTCTCCTCAAAAATTAATGACTTTACACTGGATTGCCTCCTTTATGGTCTGATATTATTTGATTCCATTATTCCATTTTATTTAGTCTAATAAAATTACCTATGAATGTCAGGCAGGCTCCTTTGCTCAGAAATAATGCTCTTTCTTGATTATGTGTAATGCCTGAAATATTACTGTAAGAAAGTTCTTTTAGCTGTAAGGAATGCTAAAGTTCAGATGTCCCAAGAATAAGTGTAGTAATCTAAGCAGTGTAATTTGAGTAAATTTGTCTAATTTTCTAAATAAAACCTTGTGGAGCAATATTTCTAAAAACCAAAAACAATAGGCAAGATATGCATGTATGTATATCTCTACCCAGCCTCTTTCCAAAATGAAACAAGAAGTTCCTGAGGTACACTGAGAGGTGGGCATGAAGGCAGATGCCCAGTATGGAGTCTTGGGTACCAAAGTGAAAGGAAATATCAATAAAGAAAGAGAGGCAAAAACTGCCCTGGAAAAGCCCCATCACTTTCTATGTGGAAAGTTTGGTCTGTGGGGAGACAATGAAACATGAGACCATATGAGGCATGGGGATTTTTGGGATGCTTATAAGACAGCCACAGGACCCTTGTGACCTCTAGCCCTAGGGTTGTGTCCCTTATCTTATTCTGTTCTCATTTAAAAATTGATTCCATTTGAAATCTTTCTCTTTGACAGCAAAGTAGTCCTTTCAGTTGGGTTTTGGGGGTTCAAACTGTCAGATAATTTTATTTCCAGGATTTAAAAGATTTTGGCAATATGGAAAAGCCAATCCAACTTTGAGATTCTTCTCCAACTTTTATAATATACAATCTATGACAGATCAGAGCATACTGACTCATCAGAGCATATAATATACAATCTATGACTGATCAGAGCATACCTCCTTTGTTTCCTGGTTTCCAGCAAACTCTATGGTTTGATCTTTAAGAAGAGCAGAGTCTCCTGAGGGTTTGCAATCCTCAGTCCAGAATTTGGCCATGGGAGTAGAGACAGCCTGGAATTATACAAGTTATTAATTGGCTTCACCTTCTGTGCTTGCATGAAGCCAGGTGTAAGAACTGCAGGGCTGGCTACTGGGAACTGACCGGGTGTGCCTGTCTTTCAAATGAGCGCCCATCTGGGTGAGCAGACTGTTTTCAACAGCTTGATAGCAGCATCACAATTTTTCCATCTGTATTACATTCGGCAGAGAAGAGTTGTATATATAAAACAAAAACCAAAATCCTACAGATTCTTATTTTCTCTGTCTCCCAGATTAACTCAGGGATCTTTTTTTGCCCAAACTTAAATAAAGCCATGTTTAATAGTCATATAGTGCTTATGTCACTGTGGAGGCCATGAATGACTCACAGAACACTACCAGGGCAGAGAAATTTGCCTCTGGGAGAACCAATCAATTGTTGCCCTTGAGGTACACCTTTCAGTAAAGATCTATCCAGTTCTTTAGAATGCCAGGATTTACTCCATTTCTCTGGTATGCTCAGTTGAAGTAAATTCATAAATAATAAATAGTATTTGATTAAATATGTCCAAAACACAGCAAAAATACATGGGTCCTTTTGTCTTTCTCAAATGAGAAGGTTGCAGTAGAAACCTTTCAGACAACAGCAGAAATGACTTCTTAGTAGCCCCTAAGGGTTCATTCCCCAAACATACATCCAGCAATTTATATAAAACACTTAACACAGTATCTGGCATACTAATAAATGCTTGATGGATTTCAACCAACAGCAATAAAGTAACAGCAGCAATATAATAAACAAAACCTGCCTAGCTGGAGAGGCCAACAAGAGAGGGAAAAATACAAGTGTGATCGTACTTCCTCACACAAAGTCTTCTGTGGTCTCTTCCACTGCCTGTGGGATATTATGCGAACTCCTTGGCATGGCCCCAGCTTCCTTCTATAGCTTCACCTCTTACCTGTGCAGTCCACTTCATTCCCCTACATTCTGACTATTCAGGATTTTACACCCTTCCCTGAACACCCTTTACTCTGACATACATTGAGATCTTCACAGCTTATTC